GTGACCCTGGGGCTCTAAGGAACAGCCTCAGAAAAAAAAAAAAAAAAAAAGAAAATAAATAAATAAAATAATAATGATAACACATATCATATATATGTGTATAGGATAACTTTATAAATATAATAAAAATTATATATATGTATAAATAAATAAAGTGATAAAACGATAAATTTAAGAACAGTCTAAATCTAGTAATGCTAAGTGTCCAAGTCTGTGGACTTCCTTAACCCCCGTTCATAAGATTAAAAGGATATATACATGTCCTTCATGATTAAAATTAGGTCCGTACTATTTGTTCCAACAACTTTAAAAGTCCGGGCAATGTTTAAACTACTCGAGATGATAGATCTCTGCATTCTCCTTCACACCTCTTTGCACTTGGTTCCTAATAACTGGCTAAGGGACACTCCCATAGAACTAGACCATCCTCCCAAGACATATATTATGATTTTATATTGTGTGATCCTGTATCCTTTGAACTGTTGCTTAAGCTCCCAGCGTAGGGGCCCATACTTCAACACCTTCTCCTCGTCTCTCTTATTTACTCGCTTGTAACCTGCTAGCCTTATAAAATAGATTTTAAAGTAAAGCTAATATTATGGATTACAATAAAATTATCGCAATGTAACCGTTTCTTTGTTATACTTACTTTGAACCGATAATATCTTTGTAGACCATTGTCTAGTACATAACCGGTCATGAGCGCTCAGTTCGATGTAAATTCCATCTGCGGAGCCACTGCGCCTAGTGAGGAAAAATTTATTAGAGTTGTTTATTACTTTGAAATTATTGCCCAAACGACTAGAGACTTTGTTCATACACCTGCTGTTATCAGCATAAAGATGATAAAATAGAAAGGGAAAGAGGATCAATAACAGATTTATGGTTTATTTTATAGTTGGTTTAAGTTTATATCCTACGGAAAATTCTCGCCTTATTAGCCTTGGCATGTTCCCTCAATAAAGTTGTCAGTCTTAAACGCCAGTGTTTACCAATCTTGTAAGACCGCCGAGTTGTTTTTGGCACCGGCTAAAACAGGGCCATTTCAGGGCTGTCTCAAGCCTCTGCTTCAAAGCGAGGCTACGTGCAAAGCCACTGATATGAAAATGAATTTTTTTTATTTTCATGCAAATAAAACTCATCTTCAAAAGAAAGGTCACTTAGCTTTTCTTATTCACTTAGCCTCGTTTTGAAATATATAGAACTCTCAGTGAGCCGCGTACGGCTTCCATCCAGGTTTATTCCTCGTCAACTAAACCTTTTTTAAAACAAAGCACGAGTACTAAGCTAAAGCTATTTGTATGAAAATGGGCCTTAGGGGGTGTATTACATCAACTATTGCTATTATAACTTACGCCATACAACATTTCGTTACTGTGGTGTTCGAGTAATCATATCCAAGCCAACATTCTAGACAATCCGTTTCTTGTTTCTTCGCACACGTATTTTTCACACCATAACTGGGCGGGCACTTGAAGCACGGAATACATGACGTATAATTCCAACGATGTTGGGACGGAGAATTAGTAGTTGAAGTTTCAGCCGACTAGAAGAAAATGTTAAATTGAACAAAGTCACTGGAAGTAGTATTTTATGGTCAATTCACCTGCCAGAAGACGTTTTGAAAGAAAAGGAAATAAAAGTCACAGGGGATTTCCAATTGAAAAAGAATGTCAATTGAACAGTCACTGGACTAGTAGGCCCTGTTCAAACGCCGGAAATTTACATGAGCCGAACCTTATTCGAATTAAGGCTGATCCAAGTTATTTAGACTGGCTGAATTGATTCAGACGCCGATCTTAATTCCAGGCGGACTCATTTCAAAATGAGGAAATACTCTCTGAGTTAAAATACGTTACGTTAATTTATGCATTAGGTTCGGTGTCTGAGCCAAAGAGTCGAAATTCCCGGCCGGGCTTGGCGGAAAGAACTGCTGAGCCGTTCCACATTGAAATAGGCGTTCCTAATTGATTCAGACGCCGAACCTTTCATGTACTTAATTCAATGTATCATGTCCTGTGGAAAGAGTCCTGGGTCATTTCCTTCAGGTCTTATGAATGTGACAATAAGCAGACCAAAACTTAATTTAATACTTAAACTTGCCTGTTACACTGATCTCTGGCCAAACAAATTGGTTGCATGATCAATAATTGACAATTTTTTTACTTCAAAACTAACCAAAATTGCAAGTTATGTTACCAGTGCTTTTTTCGGAAAATAGAGGAAAATTATGCACGTAATGACGAATTATGCCAAAACTCATGCTGGCACAAATCAAAGCCTACTCCGAGTGGGACCTTGAAAAGAAAGGATATTAGCTATTTGAATGACGTAACCTCTTAGTTTTTCTTGCCCCTCTGCGTCGTTTGCCATCCAGCAAGGTGTTTTTTCTATTATGCCACCATTTCCTTCAAAGGACCCACTCGCCGATTCCCAAAAAAAAAAAAAAAAAAAAAAAAAAAAACACGGGGTATTAAAAAAAAAAAAACCAAAAAAAAAAAAATACAAGAAAATAAAAAGAATGTAGTTGACGAGCAAAACAAAAACACAACCCAATATTTCTTACTGCACTACTTTTTTTCTATTTTACTGTGACACTCCTGGTGCTGCTCCTCTAGCATCGCGGGTGGGACACGGGGGCAATCAAAAAATCGAATATCCAATTTTGTAGTCTTAAATCCTGTTTGTTTTTCTACCCCCACACCGCAATTTACAACAAGTAAAATCTGTTTTCTTTCCTCCACCCACTAAATAAAAAAGCACCCCTACCGGGTACACCAAAAAAAAAAAAAAAAAAAAAAAAAAAACACGTAGGTATGAAGGCAAAAAAGACGCTATATAGTAATATACTGGTAACTTACCAGCATTGTTGTTCCTGGGAAGATTAATATTACAACAATGATTATCGGCAGCACTAGTATTAGTACAATTGCTAGGGGAAACCATCCTAGCCCAAACCATGGTCCGACTGTTGGTCCTTCTTTGTATGCACCTCTCTTAACATGATTGCGCTTTGCTGGGGATTCCTCTGTCTCATGAAGAGCGGTGGGAGTGTTAATTGCTGAAAAAGCCGTACCTGGAGACAATTCAGTAAGAAGGAATAGTTGTTAAAAAAAATTCAAATTAGTCCTTAAAAGGAGAAGACGAATGTAATCTGATATGTAAAATTCTTCCCAATCAACGTTTCACATATCAGTCAGTATCTTAACAACGTTTTTTCAAAATGCACACGTTTGGGGGTAATGTTTTTTACTGGCGTTCGTTTTGTTCAAAGGAGAGACTGCGTCTCCAAAAGCTTAACAAAAAAACAAAAAACACTTTACTTAAAATAGGATTCAGAGGAGATGTTGCGTGCCCGGCCTGCATCACTTTTTCTGTTTATTTCCTAAATCATTTCAGTGACAGTAAAACTGTATAGCTGTGGTCACACTACAGACTTTTTATCTAGGTAAATACGACTTGTTGACAGTTTACCTGGGGAAACTTGATTTTTTAAGTGTGACCGATTTTTCCCTAGGTAACTTACCTCGGGGAAATTTTATCGTCTGGGTCTTGAATATGTCTCGAAAACAATAGAGTTTACCTTGACAGCTACCCCAAAGCAATAGCTAGGGAAAAATGAAATACCGAGGTTGCTAGCCGATAGACGCTCATCGGCGAAGGTCTTGATGACAGAACCGGACATAGATCACGCTGTGAAAGAAATTTTGGGGGCACGAGTCGTCTACGTCTTCGCCTTTCTTCACCTTGCACGTTGAATTAGCGTAAGAAATAACAGCGAGAAAAAAGAAAAAAACCGTCTCTTTGATCAGCTAGATCCCTGCGCATTTTGTCTTCTTGAATTTACGCTCCAAAAAATTTAACTTGCGTGGAAACTTTAGGANACCTTGACAGCTACCCCAAAGCAATAGCTAGGGAAAAATGAAATACCGAGGTTGCTAGCCGATAGACGCTCATCGGCGAAGGTCTTGATGACAGAACCGGACATAGATCACGCTGTGAAAGAAATTTTGGGGGCACGAGTCGTCTACGTCTTCGCCTTTCTTCACCTTGCACGTTGAATTAGCGTAAGAAATAACAGCGAGAAAAAAGAAAAAAACCGTCTCTTTGATCAGCTAGATCCCTGCGCATTTTGTCTTCTTGAATTTACGCTCCAAAAAATTTAACTTGCGTGGAAACTTTAGGAGCCGATATCACTAGTGTGACCCTCCCAGAATTTTTACCTAGGTAAAACAAAACCCGAGATGAATTTACGTCGGGAGATTTTTGATGAATTTGCCCTAGGTAAATCGGTTTTACCTAGGTAAAAGTCTGTAGTGTGACCGCAGCTATTTGTATATCTTGATTTAATGCAAGAAAACTATACGAGAGTCAAATGAGGGTGTTTGAAAGTTATTCTCATCCATAATTAATTCATGAAGAGGAAACAAAATTCGCCAAATTTGCAAAACCGTGACCTCGAATATACCAATTACCGAAAAATTTTGTGATCTTTTGCTTTAAAAGTAGAAAGGGGCTATTTCCTAAGACTGCTATACCAAAGTAACAGCAGAATGAATGTACTAGACGGTAATAATTATCCAAGTAACCTACACTCACTCAAGATAATTAACAGTGAGATTAGGTTGACGGGTACTCTCTTTAGAAATAACAACAACAGCAATAATAATAATAATAATAATAATTTTCGAAAATTATCTTAGCTGGGTTGGGCTAGTACTCCCATAACGGCGAACGAAAATGATAAATTATAAAACTGCACCTGTTTATCGGAAGATCGCTAATAACGTTCTAAATGAACTTTTCTAAATGAAATTCAGTTTATGAGAAATAATTATGTTAAATGCGCAAGTTTTGGTTAAAACAACAAGACTCCTTCACCTACAATGATAAAAATAAACATTATAATTTAGAACTAGAATCCTCGACAAAAAAAGGATCAGTCAATTTGCTGGAAGGAAGATTAAAGGCACAAAAAAACTTCATTATTTTAAAATTGAAGATCAACTACTGGCAATGACAGCGATACATATAACACCTCCTTACTTTGAAGTTTAGCTGCGTTTGATTTAATGATAATAATAACGATAGTCTTTATTAAATTATAAGATAAAAGCACATTACTATACATATCTTATGTTACAAAACTTCTACTGTTGAACTAAGGAGATTCAAATCACCTTCGCCTTTCGTAGGTGAAAGACACTGAAAACATTGGTATTCTGAAGACATAGATGTGCAATAAAAGTTGTCCTCTTCTCTATTTATCTGCGCATCACTAGTCATATCCAAACTTTCTGGCACGGGAATTGGCCCATCATCTGCGCAAGTTTCTTGTATATATGGGAAACAAACGGATTTTAACAAATCAATTAAACAAACAAAACAAAGGAAGTCAGTTGCATCTCCTGACAGACGGCACCGGTAAGGCCCAGTTCAAACGTCGAATTTCACATGTGCCGAATTTAATTGCTATTTTAGGCCCAGTTCAAACGTCGATTTCACATGTGCCGAATTTAATTGCTATTTTAGTCGACTTAAATAGTTAAATACGGCATTTGATTCAAACGTCGAATTTATCTCACTGAACTCTGTCGAATTTAACTCTCTTCGCTGTCAATATTCTCAGTAATATAATAATAATTTACTAAAATTCATTAATTAAGTTCGGCACATGTGAAATGCGACGTTTGAATCAAAAGTAGAACCTAAGTCGAATCTTCGACTGTTTCAGTCGCAGATACGGCAAACGTCGCATTTAATTTAAACAGTCGAATTTAATTGATTCAAACGTCGCACTACACTTGCATTTAACTGTCGCGTTAAGTTCGGCACATGTGAAATTCGACGTTTGAACCGGACCTAAGAGAAAGAAACAATGACCTTTGGAGGGCTTATACACGAAAAGCTCTCTTGATGCAAAGCTTGTACGAGAGCAGGGTTTATTGCCCCCGCAGTCGCCCAAAAGGCGAAATCCCGAGGAAGCACTCTAACTCTGGGGCCGGGGCAGCTGTAGTGTGGACTATTACTAGTATAGGCATATGAACCTACCCCTGTTTTCCGCAATTCCAGACCAGTCAGTGTATTCGTCAAAGGATCCTGCACATGACGACGTTTCAGCATCAGCAAAGTAATTTCTTGAATCGTCGTCATCCTCGCTATACTGGTCCAGTCGAATGGCTGACTCATCCACGGTTCCCACTGAAAAGAAAAGTGTGTCCAGTTTCTATTCCGCTAACTAAAACAAAAAACTACTGCAAAGACCCAAAGTCACTCAACACACGAGTATTTGCGATGAAGGGTAACATTATGACTCAATTACTTTTTTGTCTTGTTTTGATGTTGACAAGGTAAGTGTATAATCAATATAAAGCAAAAGAACGAACAATTGAACAAAGAATAAATTAAACCCCGGAATATGCATTAACGATGTAAGTCAGTACAGTATCTCGCCCTGTTTCCATCCGCCCTAATCGCCAGACACCCCGCCATTATTCTCGTTGTTTTTTTTGCAAGCTGCTAAATTAAACCCAAATAATACGTTTCCTTGAGTTATGATAGGCCTTCTTTCAAAGACTCCATTTTTTTCTGCTAAAATTATCCATTTTAGCCACAGGTTTCATTTCTTTTTTTATTTCGCTGCAAATTGCTACTTACAGGATTGTTTTTGCACTGCTTCGACAAGTTCTAACCAGTCAATTGTATTTGGTTGAACATCTTCGTCTTTAGATAATCTGCAAAGTACAATTGAGAATAGACATGTTACTAACATTTTCCAATATTTTACACAGATCTTCTAGCTAGTAACTTCCACATACAGTGAGCAAAGAATTGTGACGTATGTAACCTGCGATCAGGCGTTCTTTTTTAGGGGAGAGCGCGAAAGTCGTCTCCAAAATATAGAAGGACTACCTGATCGCAGAAGAAGATCAAGATGGACCGCCTGATAACAGGTTATTCGACTGTCTTCCCCGACGTTCGCTCTTTCCCCCAAAAATAGAACGCCCGGTGGCAGCTAGGGTAAAATTCCCTGAGACCTTCACTGGGAAAACACAACTTACAAGGGAAAGAGGTCTATCGTCGGAATGGTGTACATTACAATGTTGAACAATGACTCTGATAATCTAAATCATCTCAAGCCATCGCTGAACGTACTATTAGGCTCTGTTTGCGCGAAGTTATTCTAATAGCACATTTTCAAAAGAGATAAATATTTATCACAGGTTGAAAAAACACATACATATGGGTACAGTTTACACTGTACCTTGTGTGTACATCTAATAGGTACTGAGCTAGTTCTTCATGGCCATTAGCTCGGGCAACATCCTCAGGTAATGGTGTTCTATCCTTATAAGAGTTAAAGACAATTTGCCCGGCTGAAGTACTGAAGATCATTTCGATAAACTGTCGAGCATCGGTTTTCGCTGCTGTGTAAACCAGTAGCTGAAGAAATTTTAATGATTGTTGTTGCTTTGATTGAAATGAAGAATCTAAAAAAGAGAGTATGTTAGTTCTAAAAAGTGCACTTTTTAAGGTTCATTGCATTAGTTTCAAACTATAAAATTATGAAACCAATGCAGTGGACCTTAAAAAGTGCACTTTTTAAGGTCCATTGCATTAGTTTCAAACTATAGTTCATTATTTGTCTTTTACATCATTTTATTCATTTTTTACGTCAAAACTTGCTCAGCAAACTCTTAAAAATAGGTATGCGTGTATGTGCGAGGCTTTCAGAATGTGAAAGAGTAGTCGTATTGATGTTTACGTTTGAATTATAATTTTGTCAAAAAATCACTCTATGACAGTTTCATTTTTGGATATTTCCTGGAGATGAAAATTCCGGACGAGTAACCTACTAACAATTTCTACTCGCCCGGTCAATTGGCGAGTGGGCGAGCGCTAAAGGAAAACCCTGTTATTGTCAAATTTTTAACGAGGTAGGGAAAATATTACACAGAAAGTGTTTTGCTTACCTTGGTCAGATACATTCAGTGGACCTAAGACCTGTGTAATGGTGTTGCCTGTTGCAAGGCATCCAGCCTCGTGCGACCACATGGAAAAAAAGAACGACTGGAGAATTGGATTCTTTACAAGGTTCTGGACCATAACTCTCATCTCGTCAATGTACGTGAAAAACGTCACTCCTAGTTCCTTACCACATTTTGTTAGGACGGTAACGTTTACGTCACCAGGCACTTGAGAAGCTAAAGCATATTTAAAATGGTCATTATCAAGTAATCACAGACACACACTAGCCACAGTGGGTCTGGACATGTCTCCGGGAGACAATCAAGGGAACGAAGTTTGGGGGAAGGTTTACCGACGAGGCCTTTCAGGTTTGACCCTGTTTGAGACAAAAATGTTTCACTTTTCATTTGGCCCATGTAATTTTTTTATTAGGGTTAACGTTCAGCGAAAGGGCTCTGCAGCTCCCCTTACTAATCAACAAACAGATTTGCAGTTCAGAAAATGAATGAAATGAATTTAACTCAGGGGAAAAAATCATTTCTAATTTTCTTCGCCTCCTATTGTTTATTCCTTCATAATTATAGACTGATGTTTTCCTGACTGTTGATTTGCAAATTATGGTCTTCCATGAAACTCCTATATATTAAATGGAGTCCAGTTGTAGTGGAACGTCCGCGCGCGAGAAGGGGTGTTGCAATTTATATGGGCAAGAATTCCTTTTTAAGCCTGTTACTGTGATCGAATGTGATTTATGTTTGTTACTGTAAATATTGATCTATCAGCTTGATAGAGGAGTTTTTTTTTCATTGTACGATAATTTTTCGAAAATATTCCAACTTTTTCCACCCGGCAAATTTGAAGTTTATTGCTTTAAGTCACCAAAAGTATATAAACGGAAGTTCGGCATTAAATTACTAATTAGCAGTTCTACTGGTACTTACGAGGGACAGTTCCACGTAGGGTAAAAGAGTTTAACTTGTCAACCTTGACGTCGTCAACCCCTTCAAAACGTGCCACTCCGTCCTTAACTTCGTCTGGCAACTCTTTCGTCAGTGATATATAAAATTCAATCTCACCCTGTGCCGAAAAGAAAATGGGCTGATAACACTGACCCTTATTTATTAAATGGCTTAATCTGCGAGCGTGCCAATCCTGTGTTCTGATGACTACGTAAGCGAGCGAGATGGACACACCTTGTCCTACGTCGGTCCCACAAGAACACAAGAAAAAGCTCTCTATTAGGCCATATAATAAATCCTTTATTGACCAAGCTTCTTCGGTCAAGACGGCTGGATACTTGCGTCCTTCGATTTTAGTTGAAATCCATTCATCTTGATCAAAAAAGATTAGTTGATAATGCATATGTAAAAAAAAAAAAAAAGAAAGAAAAGAAACCTCAACAAAATCAAGGGCTCATACAAGATAAGAAATCGAGGTATTTTAACAGAAAACTTAATCTGAGTGTAAAAAGATGCTTATAAAGCAAAAAAAAAAAAAATAAATAAAATAAAGAATTAGTAAAATACGAAATTCCGAGAGAAATGAACACTGTTGAAAATTAAACTCAGCATCTGCCATTTGGTCATGTTAAACTCGTGTTTTTTCTCACCTAGTCACTAAAAAGCCTGAATTTCGTTAATCGTTACAACAACTTTGATAAAGTAAAGCTAAATTAAGTGTAATATAATAATCCAGTTGATAAAAATGGAAATAAAACTTCCTTTCAGAGAAAACGCAAATTTTGAAAAACATGGCTGTCAAAACTATGTTGCCATGGTAACATCAATGTTGACGTACACGTAACAACGATTGTTCCAGATAAATTTTAGGAAAAGTCGCAAAGTTTGGTAGTCCTAGGTTGAACGGTTTTGAAGTTGTTCAACTTTTTAGTGAGAGGGGGCCTCAAAAGCTCTCCCGGTCTGAATAAAATAATCAAGGGCATTTGTTTTTAGCGGAGAATTTGCAAGCATTGAGGCGTCCCCTAAGTCTTTTGAACAGGCTGTTAATAGAACATTACCCTCTTGAAAATATTTTTTTTCCTTTAAATATATTTAAATAAATTCCATGGATGATATAAAGAAGCCGTGCCACAGCTGTCTAGTTAATTTTGATAATGTTTCTATTTATATGTACACGTCCTTGTTTGCTATTTAACTTAACATTATCGCATAAATCACTTGTAAAAAAAAATCGAAGTTCCTGGTCCCCATAGTATTATATATATAGCTCTACTCAACAATGGCTTCCCATCTGTGTACCTTCTTTTGTATTTATTTCCTGTGAGACCTTCGTCGATATTTGAAACGGTTTTTTCTTTAGGTAAAACCACATAGTTTGGTTTAACCTTTACCTTTCTTAAATAAGCACTGCTTTCTAACTCATATTTTGAACAGTTGCCATATTGAGGGTTATATAATGGAGTGCCTAAATCTAAATATCGTTTGAAGTCACTATCCGTAGACCAAGAACCACAACTGACAAAACTGCCCGACGCGTTACTTATAAAAATTATGCTGGCCTCTTTAGCTGATGCTAAATTACAGCTGCCGAGAGGGAGGAATTCGTTGATCAAACCATCGCATTTCGTGTTAACATGAACTAGCACACTACAAAATTGATATTTAACTAGCCTGTAATAAAAATTGTTAAAACAGTCACCTTGAGAGGGCCAGACCGTGGGCAGATATCTCCAACCACTGTGCAAAAAAGATAACAGTATACATCAACAAAAAAATGACTTATATACACATCGTGGTTCAATTCTATCCTCGGGTAACAAATCACTTGTTCGCGAATAACAGAGAAATTATTCAACAATTGACATCATGCGAAAAACTTGCTTGAAAAGAATCTAGCCGGAAGATTTAAACGATGTTTAGTGAAAATAATATCGCCACGATTACAAGGAGACAAAAATGCCACTTGAAGGAAGTTCATCACTTTTTAAAGAAAAATAAAGCTGTTCTAAACTCACTCCTCAGATAGTACGAACATAAGATACTTACATCACACCTTTACAGTGACACAAACAATTAATTCTTGATTAACTGGGATAGTATATATGGACCTTGCAAGATTATACCTGATAAAAACTGACTTAGTTATAATTCGTGTACCTCCTAACCGATCCAACCCTTTGTCCGAAATGTTATCTGGTATTTCAGCACAACAAATGTCCTCTAAGGTAGAGACAATTCTCGAGGCATTAATCATCTGAAAATCAAAATTTGCAGTTTTAACATCGGGCAAAATTCTACCATTTTTGCCACCCACGTAAAAGTTTACCTTTCTGTATATATCGGACACTAATTTTTCAAAAGAAAGTTTGTCAAGAAAAGGGGCCAACTGAGGTAAGGGCTGACACCAATCACAGAAGTGTGGGCAGTTGAGGAAGCGTCTCATGTTTTAAATGCATTTTACTTTTCTTATGACATTTCCCTGATCCACTTAATTAGTTTCGTATGAGCAATTATGTCAAATTTCAAACCACGTAAGGAGTGTTTTCTTTTTCAGACACCAAACTCGTTTCCAGAACTTTTTCCCAGCTTTTCCGGGGCCTGACTGTTCGAGACACCCGCTTGTCTAAGGTTTGGGGTTTCGTGACACCCCTCTTACATTTGATTTATAATATGGCGTCATAAATGACAACTTTCAACATAAAGTGAGGGCCACAAGTTTATTAGCCTTTGGCTATTAAGTGCTACCCTCTTTAATAAAGGCTTTATTATTATTATTATAGTGTCCAAGGACGTAGCATAAAAGCTGAACTCCATATTTGCTATGTTTTTCCTGAAATTGCAGAAGTTACTTTCAAATTGTTGTTGCATCAATATAAGGTATAAATAAACTAATTTACCTGAGAAGAAGTGGGAGGATAGACATCTAAAGACCAATCCTTTTCACTCTCGGTTTGATCAGGTAAACCACTTAAAAATGATTTAAGGCTATTTTCTAAAGACCCTATATATTAAAGAAAGAAATAATTTTCATAGAATTAATATGAGAGTCTGGGTTGCCGCACAATAATTAATCAGGACGATATAGAGGACGGTAAGGTAGATCACAGGAACCGCATAATTATGTTCTTCGCAAAAGATAAGTGGCAAGTTATAGAGATGATAGTTATTGACAAGCACCGTGACAAAGAAGCAGAGATTTAAGAATGGGCGTTACCAAAACCGGCAACGGGGAGCGGGAAACGAGCAAAGGGAACGGGAGAATGAAATAATGGGAACAATACCTAACTTGAACCCTACCCATATCAGTAACTTCATTTCCAATTCCCTGTTTTGGTCCATTTTCTTTCCATTTACACGTTTGCCGTGCTTGTTCCACGCTCTTTGCTCCTCGTTTTAGTAACATCCGTTTATAAATTTGTCGCCCACGAAGCGCGTAGAACGTAGAAGCTTGTAAACTAGGATGGCCTATATTTCTATTTCTGTCCTCAAGGACGTCATCAAGCTGCAAACCTGGTCCATTATTTTGACTGTTTTTGCGCGGCCATTTTGGCAGTCAAGAAATACTTTTAGCGATACATTTTGATGGCAAAAGTAATTTACAGAGAACGCATTGAAGCAATTTTGACCAGAAGCTTTAAAATACCAGCGAAAAACGAGATTTCAAGAAACAAAAATGCACTGCGGTTTTTATTTCGCGGACGAGATTACTTCGGTCGCAGGATATGTCTGACGGAAATGCGTTTCATTCCAGCTTTTTACCGTCAAAACCTTACTTCCCCCTGAAATTTGATTCTTGTTCACCCTGAAGCAAAACCACACTGGTTATGTTCCAGCTCCGTACATCGATTAGACTGAAAAACAGTCCGTATTTTTGCGTATTCAAGCCAGCAGTCAAACAAATGGTCTGAACGAGGCTGAAAACAGAGAGCGAGACTGGGGAAAGACGCTTACTGATTTTGAGAAAAAAAAAAACCCGACTGTTTTGCAGTCTATACATCGATCTATGGTTGAACTCTATTGGCATTTACATGAGAACTTCCCTATTTTTCCATCCGACGACAGAAATTACGCTACATATGGTTTGCAATACGCCTTTTTAATGTTACAACTAAAACAAATCAATAATAATAATTAAATAATCAAGAGAACGGTATGTTCGCGGCTGGTCATCTAACCTGCGCATGCAGCCGTCTCTTCTCTCTACTCGCCGCTAAGGAAACGTGTGCAGTAGCGAGGAACGAACGAGGAGAGACGGTTGTATTCGCAGGCTGCTGGTAACCGAAGTGAACCAGTTTCGGCAGGGCTTAACGTTAGTGCAGCACCGAGTTCTCTGGGAGGGTTTGCGAGATACGAAAATGAGTACTACTATTAAAGTGGAACCTTTAAGTTTAGTCTGATAAAGATATCCCCATGGTACCCCTATGTTTTGTCACAGTTTTACGGTTTTTATTTTCCTTGTTGTTGTTTTTGTTGTTGTCTATTCGAATTTAGCGCTTAACTCACCGTCAATAACACAAAAGGCATCATTTGCTTCAATCCCTGAGTCCGTGGACCTGTCTACAGTCAAGTCTGATGATTTCGACTCTGGGTCTGTGGACCAGTCTACAGCCGAGTCTGATAATTGCGACTGTAAAGGAAATAATCATAAAGACTTAATTTCAGGGATCCCTGATCATGCTGTTGATCGGCGAATGCTCGGGTTTTAACCTTTAATTTTCAATTGCAGCAATAAATGCCTCACTCGAAAAATCTCTTACTTTCAACTGACTAGTATGTGAATTGTCAGTAAACGCCGAGTAGCAACGTTTTTAGTCAGGAGACAAACTTTTCGTTATTCGCCGGACCTGATTGAATATTTGTGAGTGGACATTCATATCAAATTCCAGACAGAAATGAACAGTGAGGTGGAGGAGATATCTTCTCTGCCTGATTTTGAGTATTAAATCTTGGTAACGCTTGACCTGGCTTGACAACAGCTTGCGTACCAACCGTTTCCCCGTACAAATTTCGCGCAATATCTCGAACAAAAACGCTTGCTTCACAGGGTAGGCTGACAATAAATTAAGTTACAATAAGGAGGGAACAGATTAAGTGAGTCTATACACCACCAAATTAAAGATTATTATTGTGTTTTGTGTTGTTGTTCCTGCTGCTGTTGTTGTTATTGTGGTTGGTTAAATGCCACCGGAAAGTACAAAATTTTGTTTCATAAGGCTATAGTTCTATTTTAAAAACTCCCAAACGTATACTTTTTAGGTCAATAGCATCGGTAAGCGGGATACTCTAGAACATCACCTCATTTTCTGATTCTGAAGTTCCTACAACTTCGTTACGTCCATTGATGTCTTTGGTTCTGACGCAGTTCTTCTCTGCTGCGTTGCCAAAAGAACTCTTTTTTAGCGGGTGAAAAGGCTCGCCTGCAATACTCTCGCTGCCGTTGCCTTCACCTTGCTTATCCACCGCCCCCAAAGAAACGTTCGTAAAGATATTTCCACCGGCTGCTGTCTGCGAGCATTTATCCCTTTCCCGCCCAGAGGCTGTATTGGCAATATTCAAGCTATCCATCTCAGGTGTCAACGATTGCGATACCATTTCTTGCAGGTCTGAATGTGAATGTGGTCCCGGTGGATACAATGGCAGGAGAGTATTTCTAGTCGCAGCATCCCTATCAGTAGCATGCGACACATGCTCTCCTGTTTGTGAATTAGAGGCTATGCAAATGGTATCCTGAGCCATCCCGCCTAACGGAGAACCAAAGCTTCCTTGGGTCATTGTCCAAGCTGTGGTTTGATTAGAAAGCAAAATTAGTGATTACACCAAAACATTCAAACGAAAATTTTTCGACTTGACAAAACAAGTGTTCTGAATGTTTTTAAAACAGCTTCAAAAACTTCCCAGGAGTATTTCATTTATTCTATAGTATTGATCAACGCTGTTGTTCTCTTTTAAAACGCGTTGATTAAAAAAAGTCCAGTTAAAAGCAGGTAAAATAATACAGGTTGAACAAATATAGTTATGAATTGCAAAATACATTTTGACACTGAAATGCACAGTTCAAGCGTCTTCTTTCCTTCGTGATAACCCTGTCCGAAAGAATTTAGGAAAAGAATTGCTCGAAGAAAATGGTAATCCTAGTGAAACGCGACACAATTCTGAGATACAGTGATTTGCTTTTTTAAAGAATTGCAAACTGGCAAGAATTGTTTGTAACATAATCCTTGCTTTGTAAGGCGTATCTTGTAATGATGGCGCTATTTTAACGTCCTTTCGTTTAACAACTTTGTATGTCATTTTACAAAAAAAATGGTGACAGGTCGATAGTTTTTGGTTTGTTTAAGGCTGAACATTTTTTGTCTCTCTCTTTTTTTTTTTTTTTTTTTTTTTTTTTTTTTTTTAAGGACAAGAAGTTTTTTAAAAATATTTTTTTTTTTTTTGATTTTATTTTTAATAGTGGGGGTTTTTTTATTGTCTTTTTTTTTTATCTTTTTTTTTTTTTTTTTTAAAAAAAATTTTTTTTTTTTTTTTTTTTTTTTTTTTTTTTATATTTTAAATTTTTTTTTTTTTTTTTTTTTTTTTTTTTTTTTTTTTTTTCATGACTTGCCGATTAGGATGACCGCTTTTAACACGGAATCCATCAGGAAATTGAATAAGTTTAATTTACACTGTGCAAAAACCTTGTACCAGAATAGTTCAAAGCGTGTTGCACATGATATATATATATATATATATATATATATATATATTTTTTTTTTTTACACTTATCAAATGTGAAATGTGAGATATGTTTCTCGGGCTCCCATAAGAAACTACCTTTGGTGTTATAACAGGTAACTAAATATATCTATATTTCTTGAAAAGTATATTAATAGAATGCGCGATATTCATTTGATTGGAAACTATTCTGGTACAACGTTTCTGTCTACTGAAAATTGAAATTGGAGTGGATTTCGTCGTAATAAGTGTTTTATATAAAGTGATCATCCTAATAAACATTCCATTGTTTCTGTCATGATAATTCAACCTTGCACTTCTCCCGAGGATGAAGTTCAAATCCCTTCCCTGGCGTTAGATATATTTTACAAGAGGTCAATTAAATAACCTTTTTACCTGTGTAATTTACTTGCGTAGCTATTGCTTCTAGACTCTAAAACAACAGCTTAACTTGCAAAATTGAACTTGTAAAAGTTTCAAAAAATTAACCTAAGGAATGAATTAAGGTCCTATAAAAAATATAATGTTTTGGTGTCATCGTGACGGCATTTTTAAGTTCAAAAAGTGTCTGGTAGATAAAAAGATTAACAATTATAAAGAAATATGCAAATTCCGGCGATAAGTTTTGCTCGAATGGAGTCCGACTAAACGTTAAGTGAAGTGTCAGTTTTCTAGTTAGCGACTAAACAATCGAACTTAGGTCCTAATATACACGTGATTAAATCCTTGCATTCAATAGGACAATGTTTATGAGTTTTTGAAGAGCCAGATTTGTGTTCTAAAACTCGCATTTAATATCATCTTTAATTTTCAATTGTTTTGTTTTCTTTTAGTTTGTTTACCTATTATTTTTTTAGTTTCTCTGACGGTTCACCATAATTCAGTCTCAATGAGGAAGCAATAGCTACCAAATACCAAAAAGAAAGAAATTCTTTTTCATTCCTACAATTACATTGAGCTAAAGTGAACTAATGCAGAGTTATAAATCCAGTTTGCAAGTTGATCGGATACTTAATACAAGTTAATGGAATTACCAGCTGTTTCAGTCCCATTGTGGTTATTCATTGTCGTCATCTGATCATGGGAGCGTTTCAGTGGTAACTTTAAGCTTGTCGTGGGATCCTGTTTGCCAAAACTTGCCTGATGGAGAATAGCGATTTTTAAGGGAGCTTTAAAAGTTAATAAAATAAGCAGTCTAAATTACAACTAATAGTTTCATCAATCAGTAACTAAAATAATAAACAATAGTACAGTTTCGAGTGAAAAATTACCGTTGAATACAAACATTAACGACACATTCATACAGGGTTAGTCTACCCTCGACATAAAGTAAAATATTCACAAATTCCGGCAATTAAGTAAGGTTTTTGAAAACACACAAAAGGCTGAGTAATACACCCTGGAATACATTTCAATAATTCCAAATGGGGGATTCAAGATGGCGAACGCTTCAGGTTCCTTTTTTTTAATTACAGGGAGTGCTTGGAACTAAACATTGAAAGCGACATACAAATAGGCACATCCACTTAACCTATATTTAAGTTGTATATAGCACTAGGTAGTTTTACATATTTTTTTAATATGTAATACCTCATCAGCATAAATGTAGAGGGCTGAGTTTCCCTTTATTTTCTGCTTTAAAAACTTTCCATCCCAAATACGACGCTCTCCATCGAAGTCTAATCTTGTGCGATTAACAGCTGCTCCAGCACAATAAAATCTATTAAGAAAAAGAAAGAAAAAGACCGTTTCTTGATCAGAGCAATCAAAAACAACAGAATAAAAGGAGTTTCCTTTTTTAAAACACCGCTATGCTCTTCGTGTACATTCTTACCTGTTGTCAAGAAAATAAAAACAGCAGATTGGCAACGTTTACTATGTTAGACAATTCTTCAGATCCTTCACCACACCTCCCCCCCCCCCCCCCCGACCCCTATTCCTTGAGGTGGCTGCTCTGAATAACCATTCATTGCGAAATTAATGTGAGCTCCGTCCCTTTTTTCAGAAGTTTACGGTTTTGAAGGAATATTTGATTATCATGGTCGTAAACAAAACTAGGAGCTTGAGACCCAAAAACAGTTTCATCATTAACATTGCAAAAATGGTTCTTCAGCTGCAGATACAAAGACAGATACCTAGACGTTTCTACTCCCATTACAAACCTTAGCAGGAGCCTGTATATCGTACTGACCGTAGAAATAATTATCATTAGATAGATTGTTGACAGTGTTCATTAAAACAAGAATTATAAAACATTCTTGCGTGATGACAGTTAGAATAATTACACTGTTTTTGAACATTATTCACAGCCGAATTCATCTGCGCCAAATCCCTCCCCTCGCCACCGTAGGGCATTTGCCTACCTTGTCAGTCCCGGGAGTGGAGCATTAGCAAATTTCGTGTTGCCCGGGCGTTATCTATCATTCCAAAAGTCTGTTGTTGTTGTTTTTAGATCAAAGTAAAAACAAAAAAAGGCAACTTTAGCCATCGACGTTTAAGATAAGGATATATAAGTCGATTAACATATCCGTAGTACTAATAACATTTGGAAAGCTGAGATCCGTTCCTCAGTTGCTCCAGATAACCAAGCTATTTTCTTGAGGCGAAATTTAACAAGGAAATAGAATCATTTAATACCGGTAATCTACTACAATGAAATTCATCAAATCCCACCGACTCTATGTTTTGTCGCGGATCTACAAATTCCACCACCATTATCACCTGAGGAATTATTGGATCTTGAATCAAATCTGACACTTCTAAAAAATGTCTTGAGTTCATTTCAAAACAATAAATCTCCTGGTGAGTATGGCTTTTCCGAAGAATTTTAAGAAACATTCTTTGACCTGATTGGCTAACACCTTCTTAATTCATTTAATGAAAGCCTTCATCAAAGGGCAATTTTCAATATCTCAGAGGCGTGGAGTTATTTGTTTGATACCGAAAGACGACCCTTGCCTTAAATTGGCGTCCGCTAATCCCCCTAAACGCTGACTAAAAAATTTCACCATAACCAGCTACTGATGACCAAATTTGGAAGAATTTTGCGATTAATCAACCGATGACGCCAAAAATGCAGCCTTCTTGCAGGTTAATGCATCGTTAACCGAGAAGACCTGGGGACGAGGTTGAGTTGTTTTGGTTGTGAAAACAAAGTGGTGGACATTTCACTCTTTTCAAGAGAAAGAACTAGGCTAAATAATAGCTAAAAACATGGCAAGAACAGCAAGAAGACAACTCGAAGAGCGACATCCGCTATTTGGAGAATATTTGCGGAGCTGAACAACCCTAAACGTGCACTATCGAAGATGAACTTAACATAGATGGAGGTAGGCATGTTTTAGTTATATTTTTTAACTTAGGTCTAGGAATTATTTTAAATGAAAAATAAAACAATTATTGAATTCGTATCATATGAAGAATTATGGAGATCGAGGAGGGTGTTCAGAAGATACTCAGCCTCATTCATTAATTGTTAATTATAGAATACACCGAAGCCAAAAAACTCCCAGGTATTCTTCTCTTTATTGATTTTTCCGAGGCATTCGACACCATTGAATGGAATTTTATTCACAAGAAATTTGATGGGGTCTTTTGGACACTTAAGTTCTAAGGGTTTGGTCATTGCTCAAGTACCGATCCACAAAGCTTTGGTTTTCTTTTGGTTTAATCGCTAGCCGGACAATACTACAAATGAATTCACTATGTTCATCGCATTTCTTAGTGACTTAGTATTTTCAAGAACGAGTGTGATGTCATCCGCGAACTGTGAAATCTTGGCATTTCGTCCATTTAAGAGCTCAATTCCCCGACAGATTTGATCTTGGCGTACTTTAAGGGCTAGCATTACCCTTGGCGAACACCTCCGGACACTTTAAAGTAGTTAGTCATTTAACTAGCTTTCATGACGCGGTTTTCAACATTGTTATAAAGAATGGATATTCATCTCCTGATAATTGGCCCGAAGTTGAAGAATTCCTATACTTCCTGTTCCAGAAACAGTTATTTTGCAGACGCAGAAAAACTATTTGCATTTATTTGGAGGAATAAAACAGAAGAGATCAAGCGACGCGTTTTGTTCCGCCCATTATCCAAAGGTGGATTAAACTTGACCCCTTGCTTTAGGACTACCTTCAAAGCGCTTCGCCTGAGTTGAATAAGCAGACTTTCAAGCAACCCTTAGGTTAGTGATTTTGGACGACAATCCCCAACCATCACTTTGACAAATATGGCGCCGACTGCTGTTTCTACTTAATTGAAACTATTTTACTGACAAACTAGACAAGAGAATTCTTCTGTTTTACCGAGAACTACTCCAATATTTTCAAAAACTGCGTAGCACTGATTATAAACTTGAGTGCGGTCCCAAAGAAATCAACTCCAGGGAAATTGACCAACGTTAGCTATTTTCAGCGAACTGAAATAAACGCGACAAAGTTGGAAAAGACACCAATTCATTTTAAAAGTGACGTTTTCGCTGTCGTCACCTTTGTCGATGCTAAAAGTCCCTAGTTTCAACCGTTGTGTCGGTTTTGTGTTGAACATGTCGAAGAAGTGGCAAAAGAATCTGCACTCTTTGTTAACGATGAAAGACCTGAGCAGATCTCTGTTGACATTACAGAGGAAGTTGTGGCCTCATCCGACAGTTAAATCTCCCTCATGCTGATGTTGATGATAATGAGGATTATGATGACGGCTTTGAAGATGAAGACTATGACCGATTGCTATGTTTAACAAGTTGACGTTTAAGTGACCAGGTCTACCTTTAGCTTTAGGTATCGAGTATATAAAATAACGCACGGTCAACGGGAAATGTTCGATCATTAAGAAGTTATATATAAAAGGGAAGTTAAGCATTAGCATTACTTTCGCATTCTTCTCCTTGAGTCTCGTTTTGACATCTCAGCGTCGTTTATAAAGTATTAGCCCTGTCTTTTAAACGCTTTTCCATAGGTCACTTTGTACGTATGTTAAGGGATGTTTCGTTCCTAAATCGGGAACACTAATGTTAGTAGTAGTGCAGTTTAGTTTTGCCATATTTTATCCCGCGATTTTTCGTACGTTACGCTTGTTTTAGCCTCATCATACTTTTATTTTTCAACAAACCATAGTAACCTTGTGTTTATGATGCTTTTTCGTACATTCATCGTCCACTTGTCGTCTTTCCGCTTCTCCGTGGGTTAATTCATTAGTTTTACTTTAGCTTTCCGTAAGTTATTTCGTTCTTACGTATAACTAAATGAGGATTTACAATTGATTTTACCGCGCATTTTAATTCATTTGCACCATATAAGAATCGATTGTCCTTTCCTCAATAATTTTTTAACATTTGTTAAGTATCGTTGTGAATTAAAACTTGACTGGCCAGCATGCGCCTTGTCTGCGTGAAGATAAGACTGCGCAAATAACGTGACCGGAGCCAACCTGTCATTTTTTCAGATCCGGTGCTAACATGTATATTCCCATTTGGCGGCCATTAAAAAAACCCTCTAACGAGCCGTGAGCCTTTACGTTTAGGGGGGATCAGTTGATTTTTGGGAGAACAAATGGGGGGATCAGTCGTAACTGAGAACCCAAAAGGGGGGAGCGCTGAAAACTTTGGAAGGATTCAGAGGGGGGACCACTCAAATTTGCTAAGAAAACGAAGGCATAGTGGGGGGCGGGGGGGATCGCGAAAGTCATCAAAAGGTGTTAGGGGGGATCACTTTAGTGAAGTCACATTCAAAGGGGGGATCGGCGATAAGGCGAACCGGTCCCTAATAAAGATTAAAGAAAAAATCCCCTATAGTAGTACTAACCTTTTATTTGCAAGGAAGGGAAAGCTCTCCTCTATTATTTGTTTTATGTCCTTTACAGTCATCTTTGACGAAATCTGCACATTCGTTTTAAACTGTCCTTTTTCTGATTTTTTAAGTTGAGCCATTTCAATTGTGTTCGGCATGAACACTGTGCCATCCCTTTCTACAACATCACAGGGCTTCAACACCACAACATTCTTCCCTGTTAGAGCTCCAGGTTCTTTCTTTGCTCGCTTCAGAGGAGCGGTTTTATCAGGGTCTTGTTGAAAGGCTTGCAAACCTGACTGTTGAACAGAACCGGTAACAGGTGTATTTGCCATGGATGCAGCCTGTTAACAGAGATAATATCAATTGAAGAAACTACTTAAACCATGCATTGATTTATCTACCTGTTTCCCTCGAAGCTATTTTTTATATGACCTGTATTTTATATGTTTGTGTGCTGGACCCTTTTCACTTGTGTGAACGGAAGCCACGACAACTCTGTCTGTATTAACTGCAGATTATAAGGTTTTTGAGCATCCCAGTCAACAAAAAATATTCGGCAACTAGCTAGGAATTATCGGCTGAGTTTGTTCTGCATTGTGGAAGTCAGCACATAGCAAGATTTTAAATACTCCAAAAGAGCGTTTTACTCAAAAGGAAATACTCACGGAAGCGATAATCTCGCAAGAACCTACTTACGTCGGCCAGCCTCTTGTACTACTCGCTAGCGTGATGACGGATTATCCGCATGAGACGGGTTATCCGTTGGATAGTTCACGTCATACAGATAATACGTCTTAATTTGAAAATGGAATGGTCCTAATTTTGGATTATCAATCCGCCTGACTTTATGTTACGCGGGTACAGGCTTTTAGAGGACGGGTAGCTTGCAAACCAAACTGAGCGCAGGGTTGTCGGAACAGCAACTAGAAGATTTATTCCAAAAATGAACGTAGTTTCCAAGAAGTAAAACTCTACAACAGCACGTAACTCGTTAAACTTGCAAGGTCTTCGCCAACTTGAATACAGTGTAAACACTGCCTTCGTCACACTTGACTAAACACGACTAACGTCAAACTCTATTCACTTGTGAAAACTAGTTAAAACTTAACTCGGACTCGTCTACCTATATACTTTCACAGTAACATTCTAGAACTTTCCCAATAGTCTCATTATAGAAAGATTACAAAATATACCGCTTTAGAAACGCTTACACAAGATCCTAAAATAAACAAACTATGAACTCTCGCTTCCAGAAACTCATGCTAGTCACGCAATACAATTTTTCGTAACACTTTATCCATCTGTTTTTCCGTCAATTTTGACGGATTTTGAGAATGGATTTCCCGTCTTTAGCCGTTTAGATGAGAAAACGGGACAATGTTCAATTTGGATGGATAATCCGTCTTTTTAGACGGATCTTGAAGAGGAATAACCCGTCAAAGATGGATTAATCGTCTCAAATTCACACCTGACGGATACTGACTGAAATGCCATTTTTCTACCCACTCTGGTCCCCAGTGCCTTCTCGCTTTCCAAAAGACACTCGGGATTCGTAGAATAAAAAAAAGCGCCCAAAGTGAAATCTAGGACTTCAAATCCTGTGTCCCCAGAGCCTCCTGGTCCTCGTACTCTGATGTCAGAGTAATCGCGTGAATGCAGGTACACAAGTGAGACCTTCCGATTTGCCTTGCCAGTAGTGCGGGACGAGGTATCGGTAAGATACGAGTGGTTTTTGTATTTTTAACTTTTCCAAGGATGTTGGCGTCGCTTGTCATCTCAATAAGCTTTAATTCCAGTGGTAAACTAAACTTTTTTTCATTATTTTGTTCTGCATATCAACGGCCTTTAATCATTAAACACGGATTGAATACCAGATTGAATGATAAAACTTCGTGCAGTCGTGACTGTATACATTTCAGTTTGAGCGTTGGGTCAAGCATTACTGCTTCAATGTATCTTTGCCGGCAAATAGAGCCTTCTCTCCTTGCTCCTCATCATTCGCAGGCTAATTGTATCTATGCAACTCTGAATAAAATAGTTGAATTAAATATGAGTCTTGTTTTATTGTTTTGTTCAATTCAGTTTCTACACTCGTGATCGGCAGTAATTCCTTTTGTTGACACTGGAAATAAATTCACGTACACAATTATGAAAGTGGTTCTTATCAATCACATCTCTAACGTAAACCCACATGTTCGTCCACACTTCCTAACAATGGTTACTGATAGTTATATTTCTATTCGACTGAGGCGGTCCAATTTCTCTGGGCGAAGCTGCGATTTGAATTGCAAATATGCCTGTGTTTAATTTAACTGAACAACAAACTTACCTTTAGCTTATTGAATCAGTGAATAATTCTTGTAATTATCCAACAGAATACACATTGATGTTCTCAGACGTTTTAGCAAGTTAAAAGCCCGTTAGATTTTCCACGACGTGTAGTTTTGTACGTGTTTAGAAGAACTCAGGTCACGTGACCATGAGTTATTCAATTGTGAAATCTTTCCTTGTTATTCACCGTCATTCACTTCCCCTTTTGTTTTGTTTTGTTTTTGTTTTTTGTAACCTTTGGTCATGGTACAAAATTTAGCTCAAAAGAAGCCAAGCAATAACATTGAACTTTCTAGTGTGCAAGCACTTACATTTCAGCACATACACGGGAAAATAAAGGAAAAAGACTTCTCGCTTGGCGCGCTGGATTGTTTATCACTAAGGAAATAAATTATTTACTTACATAAAATAATTTTACAAATACAGTTTTATCTGGCTGCTCACTAATAGCTTGCAATGGATAATCATATCCGAAAATCTGCTTTTCTTTAATATGTGGGGCCTTACTCTCTCAGTCGGTCGGACTAAAGTGAAATTCAGTTACTCGCAACACTGAGTCCAAAAGCGAACAAGTAATACTTTCGATTTGTTTTTTTAAGAAAAAATAATTCAGTTTTAGACGGGCAATCATCACTTTCGAGATCAAGGCTCTACGGATACAAATACTTAGTACGATTTCGAATCAAATCGGTTGCCTCTTGAGGCAATTACACTGTATTGAGTTATACTTCAAACTCTCAAAATTGAACCTTTAAGTCTTTTACCTCTCTATCGATAGTCGAACGAGGCTCCTCAAATAATTGGTATGGAGCTAGAGTTTCCCTAAAATCGAAACATTAGTCATCTTTAATAGTGTTCCCATACTATTGCAACGCTTCATGAAGCAAGTAGAATTGAAACCTAAATTCCCGGGCATTAAAAAAAAATTGAGAGCGCACAACCATTCTTGTGTTTATACCCGTTAATAATTTGTTTCAAAATACCATCCCTTAAGATTAAATTAGATTTCTTTCTCATAGATGTCGGCAAAGGAAACTGTATAAGTAAAATGAACTAAACTGTACGTACTCATTTTTACTTTCAACCAGTTTCACTTTTGTACGTTAAGTCTGCTCAATTAACATGAAATGAACACTGCAATCGAAATACAGTGGAACCTCGATATAACGAACTTCTATATAACGAAGACCTCAAAATAGCGAACGATTTTCCTTACCCCAGTAATAGTAAAACATATGGAAAAGTACCTCGATTTAACGAAATCTCGTTATAGCGAAAAACGTTTGCAAGTCCCTTGCCACTTCGTTATATCGAGGTTCCACTGTATCGTATTGGCGCCATTTTGCATGGAAACTGTCGATGAACCTTAGCGAAAGGCGGAAGCAAATTTCTTCAGTCTGTTCCATTAAGCCTTAAACGGATTCAGCTTAAAAGGAATATAAACGTAGATTACCTGTTGCCTTCGATTGATCACCCAATTCTTAGTGCATCAAGTTACCAAACAGAGGATTAAACGTAAGTTGCTTTTCTTACTATGTCTACACATCAGTGCACTGCATCTTATGCCTTCGAAGCACTTATTAAAAATAAGCTTAGGCCAATCATGTGACACTGAATCTTGCTGTTTATTGGCTGTCAGTTGACAACTTAACGTATCCTATAAATCACGCCACCCGTTGTATAACGCGTTTTACTCTTCTAGCCGGACCTTTTGCTTTTCGGGAACCTACTCATGAGGAGAACTAGAAAAGGGAGGGAAATGATATTAGCTAGTTTGTTTGCTTTTTTTTAGCTTACTTTGCTTTTAAAAAGTCGGTGCAACATTTTGCGTTACTTGGATCTCTAAGAGTGTAGTCGAGTGTCGACGAAACTCGGAGCACCACGCGACAACGTGTTTTACTGTAGTCTCGCGCACTACGCGAGTGATTTCGAATTTTATCGCCTTTTTCATTACATCTATGGCTCTTCAGTTACCTCAAGAAGAGCAGTGTAATGCAGGTCACACGTCCAAAACGTCAAGGTTAAAGTCCTAAAGAATCTTTTTTTAACCCCCTTTAGGATTCATAAAGCGAATTTCCGAGCTGAAGCAATGACTAAAGCGGAAAAACTTTCACGAAATCTTGCAGTGAATTAACAGGCATTTACTATAACATTTTATATACTACAAATATTCTGGGACCTGAACGCAAGATTCCTCTTGGTGGTAAGCCTTAATTAAAACTTTCATTAATGAAACAATTATATAGTAACGGTGAAAAGAGCTAGGCAGGATTTTCTTCTGGTGCGTTAAAGTATCATGTGTAAGGACAATAACTAGAACATTTCTTATTGCTCTCTAAAACAGCAACCCGCGGCCATCATTCAAAAAATGAAACAAGTCGAGATGTCCAAGAAAAATTCGCTTTAGCCAAGCGAGAGAACGTGTTTTACGGTGCCATCTCGCGACATAATTCATGTACCACACGATTTCGAATCAGATCGGTTGGCCCTCCAATCACACTGTATTGTGTTATTTTACGCGCGAGAACGTGTTTTACGGTGCCATCTCGCGACATTGTTCATGTACCACAAGATTTCGAATCAAATCGGTTGGCTCTCCAATTACCCTATATTGCGTTATACTTCAAACTGTCAAAATTGAAAGAGAGCAAGTAAAATTGAAACCTGAATTCCCGGGCATTAAAAAAATCGAGAGCGCACAACCAATCTCGTGTTTATACCCGTTAATAATTTGTTTCAAAAGACCATTCTTGAGATTAAATTAGATTCCTTTCTCATAGATCTCGGCAAAGGAAACTGCATTCAGTGAAATGAACTATACTGTACGTACTCACTTTTACTTTCAACCAGTTTCACTTCTGTACATTAAGTCTGTTCAATTAGCATGAAATGAACACTGCAATCCAAATACAGTGGAACCTCGATATAACGAACCTCTATATAACGAAGACCTCAAAATAGCGAACGATTTTCCTTACCCCAGTAATAGTCAAACATATGG